AATACAGTACTGGTCATCATATTTACATTGGAATGGCTATTATACATAAGTATGGTCATAGTGGGTCAGACCAAAGGTCTATCCAGCCCAGTATCCTGTCTTCCAACAGTGGCCAATGCCTGATATCCCAAAGGGAGTGAACTGAACAGGCAAATCATCATGTGATCCCTCTCCTGTCATCCATTTCCGGCCTTTGACAAACAGAGGCTAGGGACACTATTCCTACTTAGCCTGGCTAATAGCCATTGATAGACCAACCTCCATGAATTTATCTAGTTCTTTTTTGAACCCTGTTAGAGTCTTGATCTTTACAATATCTTCTGGCAAGGAGTTCCACAGGTAGACTGTGCGCTGCGCGAGAAAAACTTCCTTTTTTTGGTTTTAAATCTGCTACCTATTGATTTCATTTGGTGACCCCTAGTTCTTATCTTATGGAAACAAGTAAGTAACTTTTCTGTATTCACTTTTTCCACACTAATCATGATTTTATAGACCGTTATCATATCCCCCCCCCTTAGTCTCCTCTTTTCTAAGCTGAAAAATCCAAGTCTTTTTAATCTCTCTTCATATGGGATCCGTTCCAAACGCCTAACCATTTTTTTTGCCCTTTTCTGAACCTTTTTCAATGCCAATTTATCTTTTTTGAGATGAGGCAACCACATCTGTACACAGTATTCAAGATGTGGGTGTACCATGGTTTCATACCGAAGCAATAAGATATTCTCTGTCTTATTATTTATCCCTTTTTAAATGATTCCTAACATTGTTTGCTTTTTTGTCTGCTGCTGTACATTGAGTGGATGTTTTCAGAGAACTATCCACAATGACTCCAAGATCTCTTTTTTAAGCAGTTATAGCTAAATTAGTCCCCATCATTTTGTATGTATATTTCAGAATATTTTCTCCAATGTGCATTACTTTACATTTATCAACATTAAATTTCATTTTCCATTTTGCCTCTTAGTTTTGTGAAATCTTTTTGAAGCTCTTCACTGTCTGATTTGGTCTTAATTATCTTGATTATCTTAATTTATCTTGAGCAGTTTAATATCATCCACAAATTTTGCCACTTCACTGTTTACCCCTTTCTCCAGATCATTTATAAATAGACTGTATTTTGTACAACCTATTTTTTGTATTGTATTTTCTCTGGATAGCTGCATTATATCTGATATATTCTGCACCTAGAGAATAATTGAAAATCATCAAAATGGTTCTTAGCTCAAATACAGTAGCTACAAAAAAAAAAAAAAAAAAAGGCAAGAGTACACATTCAAGATAAAGCTTTAAATCTAATTTGTCATTTGGTTCAGATTGTAGATATGGACTCTGAGAACAGTATTGTTTTCTTGGGTTTATGCACACAAGAGGTTACCATCTCACTGGATAACTAGGAACATTCACTTAGGTGACTGGAAATATTGGGAGAAGGATGGAATTGTGTTTAACGCAGAAGACTAGTAGGTGAGCCAGCTATTTCTGATTCTTCCACAGAAGCATGACTGTAGCCAAGTCACTTATCTCCCTCAGCCACCGCACAAGTAAGAACTGCACTTAAACTGATGGAACTTTTCAAAATGGATTAATTTGAGAGATATTTAATACATTTACTAGTCTCGCTCAAAGACAAGAAACTAAATATGACCACTGTACTCTCCTCATAGAAACATGGTGAAGTGCAATCCATTATTTTTTATAAAGCTGCTAGAGATCCTCTGATGGAAATTGCTACAGCAGTAATATATTATATCACTCAATGCCTAGCGATAACTTACTTATATGCAGGCTATAAAGTTTAACATGAGAGTCAAATGGTTTGTGGTATGCACTTATATTTTATGGGGAAAAGGACGGTTCATAATGAAATTCCTTTATATCCTGTAAAAAAGTAATATACACACACTTTAATCAAACTGTACACCTCTAAGATAATAGCTGATAATATTGTAGCAGTAAGCAATACCACCAATATAACGCAAACATTAACTCACCCAAATGAAATAGGACATTGCTGCAGAGGTAGATTTTTAGAATCCATTGACTAAAAAAAAAACAAAACTGATAGTCTTTTTTTTGCTTCCTATTTCACTGTCCCAGGATTAGCTATTGAAAATACTACTTGTTACATTCTTGTACCAGTACTTTGCTTAGCCCTTCTGAGCCTATATAGTTAAAAAATAAATTCTTATTTTATCAGTAGGGCAGATATAACCTTGAATACATATAGGGAGCAGATCGATTAAATACTTGAATAAGATGGCACCATTTTAAAACAGAGTATAGTTCAAATATTATTTTAGCTGAAAGTTTCTCTCTTTAACTATATAGCCAACAGCGATAGGACCAAGGTGTTTTAAAACATGTTCTAAAAAAGTTTCCATAAAGCAGTGTTTCTGAACATGATCCATGGATCCACTGTGAGAAACTTGCTAACTGGCCGCTCAGGTTAATTTACCAGTTTGGCAGCCCGGGTGCCTCATGGCTCCTGTTGGCTCCAGTTTGCCATTTGCAAAGCGAGGCTGCAGAGCTTGTAAATAAACAAACCTGAGCGGACAGTTATAGCAGGCTTCGCAGAGTAGATCCACAATCACTTTGAGAAAAACTGCCATAAATGCTATTTTACCACAGTGTGAACCCATGAACTCTGGCTGGTCAAAATATCTTAGGAATAATGTTACTGAGATGTTGAAATGTCAATCTAAAGATTGCTCCTTAAAAGATACATTTGTTCTGTGGTAGTATCTGGGAGCCCCAGTCATTGATTACAATCTCTTAAGTGCTGTCTAAACACAGAACAAAACCCACAGCCTTCTGCCCCAAAGAGCTTACAATCTAAATACAAAAGAGTGGATACACAGAAAAATGGGGGAGCTCAAGGCAATATGGTCAGCAAGACAGGCAGCAATTACATCACTGTATAAAAATCAGTATGATTTCATTAGTACAAGTGATCTTTCTATTGCTATGATAAAAGAGTGAAGCCTATAACATCATTATTATGTTTGCTATATCATTTCAAATCTGAACAATTTTTTTCCACAGAACTCCCTATGTGTGAGTTCTCATGCCAGATGATTAGATCGCAAGCTTAACGTGGCTCTGAGTTCATGCCATATTTTAGACATTTTGAATTTTTAAGTTTTTTCCACAAATTATAAGTTTAGCACCCATAAGATGATGCCATTTATTGTTCAAGTGATACCGAAACAAGCACAAAGGAAAATATCAGTTAGTGACAAGTGTTCAAAGTGTTGAGATGAAAACAAAATGAAATTATATTAAAAACGAAAGATCTAGTAAATTTTATACTGTAATTGAAAAGTAAAGACTTTCCCTTCTATCATACTGTACAATAGCAGACTGTAAAAATTCAAATTTTGGTATGGGCACCAATAATCATATATGTCCATTGTAATCCAGTAACAAGTGTGTGGTTGACCTTGTTTGGAAAAGCTTCTTCACTCCTTCTTCCCTAATAACAATACCAGGAAAACAACTAGAAGTCACTGAGTAAACATGCTTTGGCCTACATGCCAACCTTTCTTTTTGTCCCTGAATACTGTCTTCTAAATCAATATAGTTAGCATAGTACAACCCTTTGTGTGGATGCAATTACAGTAGAACCTCAGAATAGGAACACTGGATTTACCAAGTTCCTGGTCCACCACACACCTCATTTGGAACCGGAAGTATGCTATCAGATAGTAGCAAGACAAAACAAAAACAAACAAAAACCGTAGAGCACTGATCAACTGCTAAAATATAAAGGGAAAGTTTAAAAAAAGATTTGACAAGGTAAGGAAATTGTATGCTTCGTTTAAATCAGTAGTTCTTAACCTTACTGTAGCCTGCACCCTTTGGTTTTCAAAATATGTTCTCGCACCCCTTATTAAAAATCGTTGAAGTAGGCCAGTTCTTTAAACCTAAGATATATCATAACTATAGAAAGAAAGAGACAGAATTATATATTTATTTTAATTTTGCAGTAATTTGTGTTTTCGATGATTTACCTTCTAAAAAAATCTGGCATGTCTAGCACCCCCAGAAAGGGCATCTCACACTCCAGGTTAAGAACCACTGATTTAAATTAAGATGGTTAAAGAAGAATTTTTCAACTGCATAGTTAAATTTCAAAGTTATATTAAGTCAATTATCAGTGGTAAACTTTTGAAAGACCAACTGTAACATTTTGTTCAGTTACAAACATTTGAGTTACAAACAACCTTTATTCCCAAGATGTTTGTAAATATGAGGTTCTACTATACATTGATATAAAGATACTTAAATCAATATAACTTATTTCTGTACATCTACTGATAAACACCTTTAATATCATATAACCTCCTAGGATGAAACACTTGTATAAATATGCTCTCTATAAAAGAATAAACTATTCTAATATAAACACCTTTATAGAACTATAATTTCATCCGCACTAGAGGATTGTACCATTTTAACTATGTCTGCTGCTTGAAAATCAATGTAATTATAGCAGTACAAAGCCTGTGGGAAGGCCCTTGGTTGTAGTGTTGCATCTAAGGTCACATCCCCAGAAGTGGTAAGATTGATGCTGCAGTGGCCAATCTTCCGGAGTTTGATTTAGCAGGTTTAGTAAAGACCCGCTAAATTGAACACAAAGGGCACCCCCTTTGAAGCATTTCTCCTGTCGACCTCCTGCTACAAGGACAGCACCAAAGCTTGGCTTAAGGTATGTCAACTCCAGGTCTGTTTTTTTATGTAGCTGGAATTGTGTACCTTAAGCTGACCTTCCCCCATAGTGTGTACCTGTGTTGACTGAAAGCAGCTTTACTACTTTCTGAAGCAGGAAGTAATTCTAGAGTCATGACAATTTTGTAGATGTGCTATTGTGGAACGCAACAAGTCCTCTATACTTTTAACTAATATGTAATAGAAAGAAGCCACGGGAAAGACATAAGATAAAAAATGCGCCATAAAAACATGTTTTAATTAAATCAATGGCCATAGAAAAAGCTGTATTTAGCTATTCATGCTTAGTTGGCTATACTGTTAATCCGCTAGGCTGGAAAAGCAAACAAATCACAAACCAAACATTAGAATATATTTTTTTAATTTTTATAAATAACTTATCTGTTACAAAGACAGTTTACCCAGCTAAAATCACAAAACCATCAACTCAAGATATCCAAATTAGGTTTTATTAATAAAACAGGTAAAAACTGATTTGTCAATCTTCACATAGAACTGCAGATGAAGCTGAAAAACAAGGCCTCATTTATATTACCAAAATGCATTGAATGCAAGTGCTTTGGGTCTACTGCTTAATTACCTGGGATTGTCATTTTCTTCCCACATAAAAAAATCAAAGCCTTCAAAACAAAAGGCCTTTGTGCATTCACATAGATCACTTGTAAAATTCCTATTAAAAATGTCCACTGGAAAATGTTTACAGTGGGTGACAGTCTACTATCTCTCTTGCCTTTTGCTACATTTTAGTACTCCCTCCAGCCTCACTTAGTGCTGCTACCTTATTATTTACATGCTGTCTTTTTCATGTGTAGTATAATATAATTTCATTTTCTTTACTTCAGTTACATACATTCCTGATCACGTGACTATTTTCCTTTAAAATAATTATCAAAATAAAGAGATGCTGAGGTTGCATCAATGTTCAAGTCTGCATGATTTCTCTTTTCCAGCCTTTATTTCAGTTGTCCTAAATATTGCTGTCCTCATATTCTATAAGACTTCACCACCACGTAAGGTTTAGAAACTGGCTGCCAAACAGGAAAATATTTAAACTTTTCTGAACAAAGCTATATGATGTTGTGGCTGTTGATTTTGGCACTGTAAGTAGTTCCCTGATAAATATCTCTTCAAGAGTCTGCAAGATACCCAGCAGATGAAGCAAGCTTAAATTGGATGCTAGTCTGTTGGTGGGTTGAAATTTTCTTAGTTTGCTTCTTTTTGCCAGACAAAATACTATTTTGTGTCACCCACCGTAAAATTCAGTGTACAGAGTGAACTATATGTATAACTCTTCCAACTTTTCCTGCATTTTTTACCAAGCTGCATCTGCAGGTCTTCACAGATCATCAGCATTTACAAGAGCAATGTACAGAATGAGCAGAGGAAAGCTATTTTGTGCATAGTTTCTTATCATTAATGCTCTTATTTTAAGGCATTGCTTCTCTCGGATAAAAGCTTAAAAAAGGGACATGATCGTGCTAATCACTTCAAGGGAAAAAAGAAAGTTAACAAAAAGACTATTACACTATACATACAGAAGTACAAGAAAATAATAAAGGTGAAGAAAAGAAATCACTTAAAGCAGGCTCTAGAGCTATGTACAGTAGGAAAAGCTTTGGGGTATTTCACTGTGTATTGTACAGACAATGCATGCAGTTTCTCCTTTTCATCTTTAGAGGTGATCATATAGAGTCTGGCTTCACAGAGCAGAGACGTTTTCAGGGAAGACAAGGCAAAGAGTACCACTGATTTGTGAAGTTCTTCCCCTATCCACGGGCACTGTGGCAGCAAACAGTTTAATTAAACCTTGTTCCTTTTAATTTCCTCTGCATTTGTAGTGTTTCACTGAATGCTTTGAAAACAAAAAAGCTATCATTCTATTCCTTTCCCCTGTCAAAATTCAGTAGTGACATTGGGGGATAAAAAGGGATGGGGAACACCCAAGCACTGAACACGGTGAGAATTATCTTATTGGGATATTGGTAATACTGTACATGGCTAAGGCAGCCGGCAACCAAGTCTTTCAGCAGATTACCTTTCAGCTGATGAATTTCAACTGCCTTGGACACAACACTGAGGTATTATTAGCTTGGTGGGCTGACATTTAACATTAGTAAAACACCATCTTGTTAAACCTTCAATTTTACAAAATCCTATGCATGAATGATTTTTCCCCAATGTCAGAACAGTCCATTGTAGGTTTGTTATGGTTTTACAAAAGATAATGGGGCCTGTTGGGTTAGAAATGCCGAGGCATTTCACACTGTTCACAACGGTTTAAGGCTGGATGATTTAAAAAAGTACAAGCAGTACAATTCCACTGAGCTCCCTCATCTTCATCTGTGTCTGGAACAGTCTTTGGTGTTTTGACAATGGACCTTTGATCTGTAGATGTAAAAAAGAGAAACAATTACTAAACATGAATAAAATAAAATTGACTGAATTTTGAGCTGAGTTTTGGGTAGCCAACAAAATTTCCTTGGACACGTGAAAACTGTGCAAGTTAATGTGATCTGGATCTTTCTCTCACCTCTATGCTGCCTCTGACCTCCCTCACCTGATGTGCCTCTCTGCCTCCTCCCTCTACCCGATGCATATATATTGCTTAGCCAATAACATCAAAGGTAAGTCTCCCAACTACTGTCCTCTTCTGTCTAGCCTCTTCCTAAATTTATCTGAATTCTACAGTTTTAGCAGATTAACTCAGTCAGCAAGAAGAAGGTGCATACAGAGAAGTGGGTTACTATATAAAGTCACAAGAAAGTCTAACATTTATTTACATTTACAACATGAAAAAGGGCATGCTCTGGACTCTAGGGGGTTTTGAAGTTGGATTTAAAAATGTGACCCTGAACAAAGGACATTTTCCCCAAACAAGAAAATGAAAAGCTAGAAATATAAAAAACAATACTCTGACATATTCACAAACACAGTTATTATTGTACCACTCTCCTCAAAAGTCCATATAAAAATGTAGGCCTTGCAGCATATCCTGAAGTTCAGACTCAATGAAGCATAGGGCTGGGAGGCACCTTAAGAGGCTATGGAGTACATCCCACTGCAATGAGGAAGGGCTATGTACACCTAGACTATCTCTGACAGATGCCTCTCTAACTTGTTTAAAAACCTCTCCTTATTCTGTACTTAATTTACAGTTAGGAGGCTTTTCCTAGTTTCTAACCTAAATTTTCTTGCTGCAGATTAAGCCCACTGCTTCCTGTCCTACACTGCACATTGAGGATAATTGATCACTGTTCTCTTTATAACAACCTTAACGTATTTGAATATTTACCAGCTCACCCCTTAGTCCGCTTTTTTCAAGATTAAAAATGCCCAATGTGATGGGGAGTTAGCCCCACATAGGGCTCACAGTCATCCGTTTCCTAGAAGGGAAGAAAATAGCTGGCTGGGATCCAGCCGGAGGGGTTCCCCAGAGGGGACCCATTGGCTCAGCAGTAACATGGACCCAAATTGTGGCAGCAGCAGAGAAAGCGGGAACGACAATGGTGAGACACCACAGAGAGAGAGCATCCTATTGAAGAACAAAACTAATTTCCAAAACCCCAATAGGAAGTGCCATGGTAATGAGCTGTGAACCCACTACACCAGTTCATCTTTTCCTCGCTGATCAGATTTTCTAAAACTCTCATTTTTATTGCTCTCTTCTGGACTATCCAATTTTTCCACACTTTAAGTAACCATGGCACCAAAAACTGGACACAATTCCAGCTGAGGTCTCACCAATGCCTAGTAGAGTGTAACAATTACCTCCTGTGTCTTACAGATAGCACTCCTGTCAATATATCCCAGAACAGTATCTGCTTTTCTTCGCAACTGTGTCAAATTGTTGGCTTATCTTCAATTTGTGATCCATTATACACCTTCCTCCCCCAGATCCTTTTCTGTAGTTTTACCAGTAGCTTATCAGTTATTCTTCATTTTGTATTAGTGCATTTGATTTTCTCCTTCCTAAGTATACCACTTTGCCTTACTTTTACTGAATTTCATCTTGTTAATTTCAGACTAAATCTCCAATTTGTCATGGTCATTTTGAATTCTAATTCTGTCCTCCAAAATGCTTGTAGTCTTTCCTGGTTTAGTGTCATCCGCATATTCTCTAGGCTACATCTAGACTACATCCCTCCGTTGGCAAAAGGATGAAAACGAGGCATTTTGAAAGCACAAATAAAGGGGGGATTTAAATATCCCACACTTCATTTGCATAATCGCGGCATGGCGCTCTTTCGAACAAGCGCCATTTCGAAAGTAAACCTGCGGTCTAGACGTGGTTCCTTTTAAGACAGCAGCCTGTATGGATCTTTCGAAAAAGCCTGTTATTTTAGAAAGAACCGCATCTAGACCATGGTTTTACTTTCGAAATGGCGCTTGTTCGAAAGAGCGCCATGCCGCGATTATGCAAATGAAGCGCAGGATATTTAAATCCCCACTTCATTGCACTTTCAAAGTGCCTCATTTACATCCCTCTGCTGACAGAGGGATGGAGTCTAGATGTAGCCTTAGTGTACTCTTCATGCCATTAGTAACAGTCTTTGGCTGTTTTAGATTAAGGGAAATGTGTGCGGTGGGGGATGGGGGGAGGGATTCCAAAGTTGAGGGTCGCTTGTGGAGAACACCAGATTAAGGAGGGCTTCACTAATTACAATCCCAGTACAATGACAGAGAAACAGGCAGTCTCTCAAATAGCCAAGTTCCATGCTATAGGGCTTTATAGATTTAAAAAACCAACAGGAATACAGTGCTGATCAGGTGACTGGTTAGTTTTGCACTCTCCCAGCAACATTACATTCCAGCTTCATTTTGTGTGATTGTCAGTGCAGCACTGATAATGGTATTTAATTATAGACCCAACAACTCTACAGTTCCTACTGCTCAGTATTCCACTATTTGCCTAGCAGATTCATTTAGTTACTCTAGATCAGGGGTGTCCAAACATTTTTCAAAGAGGGCCAGATTTGATGAAGTGAACATGCGTGAGGGCTGACCATTTTGCCTGACATTCTTTGAACCATTAAAATTAAATGCAAATTAACTATTTTATGCAAAGTTTATTGCAAACGGCATACTTTTCCTCCCCAGTGCCTCTTGGAATTCTAAATCGAGACTGCACGTCTACATTAGGGAAGCCTGCCTTGGACTAATTTTGAGGCTTCCGTGCTATTTTGAAATAAGCTATTCTGGAATAGCTTATTTTGAAATAGCTATCCGATGTAGACATACCCTTAGAATAATTCTAATAATTATAAAAACAATCACAGAACATTATTTGTAAGCACTTTTGCAATAGATGAGACCCACAAATCATAGTAATCTATAACTTAAGGACAATATAGCACAACATTCACAGTTAAATCTATTATTATAGATAATTAATCACGACCCTTAAAAATTTCTGCTTTTGAATGATACTGATTTGAGTATTTCTGGCTCTCTTTGGGAAAATTTTCAAAAAAGATGTGATTTGTGAGCTACTTCTAAGCATACTCAGCAGGCACCTGCTAGGGTTTTTGCAGATCCTGAAGTCCTTGCCTGTGTGACACACTGGAGTTTTCAGAATATCTAACATTCCCCTTTCTGGTCCAATAAGGGGCTACCCCCAAGCTGCTGAAACAACATCCCTTTTGACAGTAAAGGCATGATTCAGGCTAAAAAAACCTAAGGCTTTAGCATGGCCTGGTAACAGTTGAGTCAGCTGCAACTACAAAAAAAAATCCCAGTAAAAGAAAACCAAATGTGTCTGAAAAGTTTCTCTAAAAATGGCACATGATTCCATGTTTAGTTGCACCGATTTCCAGATCAAATGTTCTCAATTTAACAAGAAACATTTTTCCCATTAGTACTGCAAACTCATCTTGGTCTCAGAAACAAAGTTAACATCTTTCTAATTCAAGCATTACCACTTGTAATAAAATATTCTATAGGCTAAACTGAGCTTCTATGATATCTGTGGAAACCCAGGGTCTTAATATTATGCTCTTGGTTACACCTGTACAAACCTTTTGCCTTCAATGTATTTGGGAACAGATTCTGCATCTCCTATTTGTACTGGCTTTGTAGAGTTAAGAGTAAAAAACTGCAAAACTCATTTTGTCATTAACAAAAGTAGGTACGACACTGAACACACAAAAATCTTAACTACATTAGGCAAGTGTTATTGGAATCCTACATGATACATTGTAAGTTTTAAAAATATTTAAAATTATTTTACTATGTCTTCTATGGCAAATCACTCACATGAGAGCTGCCACAGTAATCAGAGAATCTCAGCCTATTAGCAAAATGCAGGACTATGTAGCATTTTAAAGACTAACAAGATGGTGACTATTTTCTTCCACTATTTGATCTGAGGAAGTGGGTCTGGCCCACGAAAGCTCATCATCTAATAAACCATCTTGTTAGTCTTTAAAGTGCTACATAGTCCTGCATTTTGCTTCAGCTATACCAGACTAACACGGCTACATTTCTATTATCAGCCTATTAGGGAATTTAAGCACAATGGAATTATGGTATATTTTTTTAAATGTCCCCGTCATTTAAATATAGAGAAACTGGTTGTTATGCTAACTGTCTCAAACTGTACAACTAAGTGTTGGCAGTTCTATTTTTGAATATTTAAAAAAAACAGCTGACTCACCAAATGTGACTCACTGAGTTTTCAGCCCCAGGAAGCATAAAACCTCTCTTTATCTCAGTCTTGGCAAACTAAAATGTTTTAGTCAGCATTCTAACTTTTAGAAATTAACATCCACTCATTCTTCATAACCCTCTTTAGAGAAGTGTAGCCCATCCCCAGATACATGCATCTTCTTTGGAAAATGCTCACATACTAAACCTAAATGCTATGAATTACTTCCAAAATGCTATTTAGAAACACTATTTCTAGAATGCAAAACCCACAATTTAATTTAAAATGGTATAATAATTTGTTTTACCATAAGACATTTGTTAAGTTAAAAATATAAAGCCATGATATTTTAAACAAAACATCTGACAACCACTTATTAATCAGTTGTTGCTACTTAATTATCGAGGGTAATCATCCTTAATTATCAAGGGTATTTAATTTTTTAATCAGATTTTATTTAAATCTTATTTTTTAAATATTAATGACATTTTTCTTTTTAAAAATATTTTAAAAATAAATTTGAAGCCATGGTAGCCTATATTAGGGCCTTAGGTTATACTAAAATTAAATAAATAATATTCAAGTGGTAAATGTTTGCTGCTGAAGTTTTAATGAAAAATCACACCACTGAACTGATGCAAATCACAGTCTAAGCACCTGGAATTTGAGTTTAAATATTAAGCCAGCTTTTTGATCACATCTGCAGAAGAAGCTACTGTTGATAGAATATTGCTTTTATTTCAACTACTGGTTGAACCTCTCTAAACTAGGTCTCACTGGACCGTGGATGCTCCATGACCAGAGTGTCCCGATGGAGGGCTGGTGGCTGGAAGCCCCGTAGACTGGCAGGGCTGGGAAGTCTGGTGGGGACAGGCCAATGGGGCTGGCAGCAGGGTAGGAATTGACCAGGAGGCTGGTGGCCAGGCTGGGGCACAAAATCCCTCATCCAGGACTGGTCAGGTCCCAAAGGTGCTGAACCAGGGAGGTCCAACTCATGGTTCAGTTCAATGACTAGTTCATTCAATGAACTTCCAACCGGGATTTGACAGAGGAGAAAAGCTGATTTTCTCACTTTCATTTCATGAATAAGAACAAATATGGGAAAGGCTGGGATCTGCTAGTTCTAAAATCTTGAGAGACATGAAGGCCAGAAACAATCAGTTCTATTCACAAATACTTTTTTTTTTAAAATGAATCAGCTTGTTCTCAATGCAAAATATGCTTTGATAAACTTACTTTTTCTCTTCTGTTTCCAGTATACTTATGGTAGTTTTATTTAACTAATAAAAACAGTTTTAAAATGCTGTTCTTGTGGATTTTTAATCAAATTTCAATTTCTATCCAAATGCAGCTTGATACAAATCACAAATAAAAAAATTAATAAATATCTAGTACAGAAAAATGAAGCACTGACCATTTTTTAACAACCAAAAATGTAAAAAAATGAAATCTGAATATATGTACAGTACATTATGCTAGTTAACTGCTTAAACAAACATATAGACATAGCGCATCCTGGATGCAGGCTATTTTTAGATGCAAATAAACATGTTTTAATGGTTTCCAACCAAAGGAGAATCTATCTTTCTTTAGGGTAATAACTATATAGTACAATGCGAAGTAAGATTAAAAATAATTATTTAATCAAGATTTTCTGATTGCTTATTTAAATCATGATTGAAATTGGTGATTTAAATCCATCCTCCCTTGCTCTTTACTATAAAATCTTTCACTTATATGCTACAGTATAGTCCCGTTATTATTTCTTGGGCAAAGAATTCAATGGCAAAGCGACTCATCTGTGAACCATCAGAAAAGTATGCTTACAAAGTTGAATTATTTGACTGCTTCCAGGAAGAATATTGTCACAACTACAGTGCAATTACCTTCCACTAGTCTAGAATAAGGAAAGCTCCATATGTATTTGGTATGCTGCTAAAATGGCTCCTCTTTTTTTAGTATTATGTGCCAATCGTACACCCTTTATAAAAGCTTCTGGGGAACTGATTGTCAGAAATGAGTACTTTGCAAATGCCAAAATTCTTTAATTGACCATTTTTCGAATAGTGTATAAAACAAGAATCTGGAAGAAGAACTTCAAAAGCTCATAGCACATGAAGGATACCCATCATACATGGATATTAGGGATGTAAATTCCCATTTACTCAGTTACTCAGTTAAACTTTATGCTTAACTAGTTAACCAATTAAATGGGGGTGGGCGGGCTGCTTCAGCTCCCACTAGTTAACCATACCCGGTAAGGCTCACCCTTAAGGGTAAGGATTATTATTAACTGATTAACCTTTCACATCCATAATGGAGATCACAAGAAATTTGTTATATCCTCCTTGGATTTCTGTAGTAACACTATTCTTTTGTAAGCCAATGGCTTTCATTAGGGACTACGATGGAGCCACCTAACCTAGTTCACTTAGAACTATGCAATAGATCATTCCCCTCTGTATTTGTTAGACAATGCAAGATTATGTCTACACAGCAATGTAACCCTAGGATTAGGAGGAGTCAAGTCAACTGAACCATGTCAAGAAACGCTGGGCTTAGGCATTTACATTGCATTTTAACATTAAGAATTTTCTGACCCACGTTCAAACCTAGGGCATTGGCATCCACAAAGTAGTGCAAAGATCAAAGTCAAAGTAAACATATCCCAAAGTGCTTCACTCTCTTCTCTGCCACCTGCAATGTTGACACTCTAGCCCTCGGAAGGCGGTACACTATGGGAAAACTAGTTTCCTAACTGTGATGGTGCTACAGATGAGATTAATATGCCCAAAGGGAGCACATGTGTATACAAATGGCATAAGTATCTCTTTTGATGCTCACTAGAATGACTAGGGCAAGGCTCATCTAGACCCTACTTACATTACCACAAACTTATTAACCAAATTGCTACGTAAAATGCTCTTTAGTAACCTCCATGGAACCTGGAGAGAGAGTCTTGCGTTTTAGGAAGGAAAATATTTGGAGCGGACACAAGATTTTGGAATTTGGCTAGAATGACTGCAGTTTGAGAAGGAATTATGCTGAACTACATCTAATTTGAGAATTGGGTTCTCCAGCTCTAGGCTGAGTCACTGTATCCTCCCTCTAGGAAAATGACTCTGTGCATGTGTTCTGAGGATAAGTAAGACATCACCCTCCATGGCTGTCAAACTATTCAAATGAAACTTAGCAATTTTTATTTTGTAAAAACAGATGTGCAATAAAGGGGTTGTTTGTTTGTATTTTTATTTGTTTTGAAATCTGACATAAGGAAAAAAAAACCCCACACACCAGCAGTCTGGCTGTTACTGGCTGCAGAGAAGTGAAGTGCATCCCCAGGGTGTAAAGTGCCTTGTGCTCCGGTACGTCTTTCTCTTCCCCTCCAGAACCAAGGTCCCTGCCCCTCCCCAGGAGGCAGAGGTAAGGACCCCCTGGAGGCTGCAGGGAAGTTTTGGGTAGAGTTGCCAACTTTGGTTAGACATATTCCTGGAAATTTCATCACAAAACAATCTTTAATTCCTGGATACTCCAAGATAATCTTGGAGGACTGATTCCCACTCACCTCCCTCACAGTAGACACTGCCTTACTCATAGTATACACTGCCCAGTTACCCCTGATCATGCAGTTCCAGGAAGAGCATGAGCAATGGCCCGAGAATTAATCAAGACCAAGCAGGTGCCCTGCAGGAAGGGAGAGTGGCAAGGCTCCTGGCTTTGCATGGCTGATGAAGGGATGACCTGCAACATGTCAGCAGCCAGGAGCTGCCTCTTGCCTGTCAACTTTGCTCCCTGATCCAGGAAAACTCTGTGTAGCAATGAGCCAGTGTTGCTGCCATAGGAGGAACAGGAAGGGGCGTATGCTCAGCCAGGCATTTAATGATGCTTCATGTAGCTATGGTGACTGCTTGCAATGCTGCTCCTCTGCTGCCAGTAACTCTGGGATACATCTGGAGGACATCCAGGACTTGAGTCAAGCGAGGGTCATGTGCACAAAGGAAACTAATATGGCTCGCAACCTACCTTAATACAGGCTTGGACCCGCTAGCCCCGCAGGCAAAGAGCCCTCTTATTTTTCTCATGCATGTGCAGAATGAATTATGTTATGTGCACCAATATGGAGATGATTTCTGATGCATTACCTCCATTTTGGTGCACATAACAAAATTCATGGTGGGGGTGGGGGACTGAGGTGTACAGCATGAGGAATGGGGCTTAGGGCTGAGGCACAGGATAGCAGTGCAGAAGGTGAGGGCTCTGGCTGGAGGTTGAGGCTCTGGAGTAGGGCCAGAAATGAGGGGTTTGGAGTGCAGGCTGTCCCAGAGCTGCAGCAGGGAGAGTGGACTTCCCCTAGCTTCCCTCCTCCCCACACCAATTACTGGGCTGAAGGAGACACACCTTTCCCCAGCCATAACAGCTCCAGAGCCATAGGAAAGATGCCATTCCTCCAGATGTGGCAACTCTAGGGCTGAGACCAGAGGAGAGATTCCTCTCTCCAGCTATGGTGGGTCGGGGGAGAGACACCACTCCCTGCCGAGGTATCTCCAAGCACCTCTCCTCACTGCAGCCCTGAGCACCTGCATGGCCCTTGATACTCTGCTGTGTGGCCACATAGCTTACAGAGAACTTAGCCTCCAGGGGCACTGGTATCCTGGGTCTGAGCCCAAGGTTAGCACACTTGCAATGTGGGTGAGTGTGGCTTCAGCCTGCGCTCAGACACAGACTTACACTGCTGTGTAGACATATATTGTGGCATTCATGCCTTTGAAAACAGATCCCACAATCAATATTCAGACTGAATCAGTACTATCGCATGTGCTACTAGAGATAAAATAGGATTTTATTATAACTCTATTTATGCTAAATTCAAACAGTACCTTTGGGTTTTGGTGGCATAGGACCTAGAAATCCAATATTGTCATAAAAGTTATGAATAGCGCTGGGATTAAAATGTGGTCCTGAAAGAAAGGTAAATACAGTTTTTTAAACAAAAACATTTGGACATAAAAGTACAATTTTTTTAATGGTTACAAATGATAATAGTACTATGTACATCATTGGTGCCTTTCACATCTAGGTATCAATGCAGGTCTGAGAAAGATATTACTGGTGACAATGACAGACTAAGTAACTTTCCTTTTAAGAAAGTTGATAAGTAACTCAGTTCTTTTGTTTTTATACATATATTTCCATTCCAAATCATCTGATGAAGTGGGTTTTACCCATGAAATCTTATGACCTAATAATCTGTTAGTCTCACAGGACTCCTCCTTGTTTTGCAGACAAAAAAGACTAACTGAGACATTCCCCTCTAAGGTTACACAACAAGAGAAAGGCAGAGATGTGAAGAGAATCCAGGAAGGGAAGGTTACTCAGCTTGTGCAGTAAATGAGGTTCTTTGAGATGGTTGTCCCTGTGTGGGCTCCACCTTAGGTGCCTGAGCACTGCTGCACTTCTAATCTGAGAATGCTGGTAGCAGTGGTCTCAGTCAGCATGCAGGGCAGCTGGCACATGCAGTTTGAAATGGCTACTCCACATGTGCAGCCATCCGTCCCTTCAGTTCCTTCTCTACCCCAAAAATGGAGGCTTCAGAAGCAGAGGGGAAGAAGAGTGTGTGGCAGAGCACTGTCATGTTATTGGATTCTAAAAATCACTGTTGCATTCATGGGGTGTGTGTTTGCTCCAATGTCTATACAAAGGGTGCCATGTGAGGTGTCAAATGAAAGCTTATGTTCTACTGATTCTGTATATGCTTTTCTTGTACTTGTATAATATCTGTATGTGGAGTTATAAATACGTACTCTGTGTTGATGCTGGAAAATTCTCTGTCTGAGGCAGAGCAATGAGCAAAGAATGTTCAGCCAGTGACTGTGTGAATTAGTAAAGCTCCAGGGACAATAAATCTCTAGGTGCCAAAGACACACCTGAAGAATGGATCTGGATGCCTGCAGACCAGCCAGAATAATGATTGCTGGCTTGGGACACAAAGATAGGTCACTAGGCCATGTGACCTGCTCCAGCTTGGAAGAGACCAGGGATGGATATAAAATGCCATGTGGCAATCTCCATTTTGTCTTCAGTTCAGCTACTGATTCCAGATACAGCCTTGCAAGGAACAGCAAGCCGGAAAGAACCGTGGATTCATCCTGACATAGGATGTACACCACAGACTTTTAAGATAGCAGTTTATAACATCTCTGCTAAAAGCCTGTATCAAGAACTGGGTGATTCGATGCATGTAATGTATTCTCCTTAACAACCTTACTCTCATGCTTTTCTTTCTGTTATGAAAGCTTATATTTTAGTTTCTAAAGGATTGGCCCAGCGTGATTTTGTGGGTAAGATCCAGAGTGTAAGTTGACTGGGAACTGTTGCTGATTTCTTCAGACCAGAAGAACCTGTTCGGGGTAGGTGAGATTGGGATCTAACACCCCTCACCCGTGTGTAGGCCTGGGGCTGACTGCAACACAGAGGGAGCTGGGATGTCAGAGGGGTTTTGCTAGTGAGGCTTCAGCTGGCCAGATTAGCAGCTGAAGTGCTCAGTGTGATTGGTTTGTGACCTGTTTGGGAAGGTCTCCAGTCAGGGGCTGTAAGTAGCCCTTGTTTTGAGCAATTCGCCCAGAGAGGACTTCCTCACCTAGGCCCAGAAACAGCCCGATCCGTCAAAAGCACACACAGAGACAACCATCTTGAAGGATCTTAGTTACTGTACAAGGTGAGTAACCTCTCCTTCTTCAAGGAGTGTCCTTGTGGATGCTCCACTTTAGGTGATTATGAAGCAATAGTCATGTTTAGTAGAGGGAGCTTTGGTAGGCTTGGACTGACTGTAGACAGCATGGTAGCATACAAAAACCCCAAGTACGTCTCTACAGCATAATAGCTGGCAAACACATGTGCTGCAGCCCAGGTGTCAGCTCTGCAGATGTCATTTATGGTTACATCCTTGAGGAAGGCTGTGGATGCTTCTATCACTCATCAAATGGGCTTATAGTGTTGCTAGGGGCTCTTGTTGAAAGATGTTATACGTGAGGCATATGCATCCGGAGATCCATGTAGAGAGTCTGTGTTTTGAGAAAGGTGTTCCCTGAGATCTCTCCGTTGAGACAGAGTATTGTGGACTTCCAGAAGGGTTTTGTGCATTGCAGGTAAAAAGGCAATTGCCCTGCTGACATCATAGGTATGTAGGACTGCCTCTCTGTTGTCCTTATGAGGCTTGGGTAAATCAGTTTGTTGCAATGGAAACAGTTAAGTACTTTAGGGAGGAATTTTGGGTGTGGGTGAAGGACTACTTTATCCTTATGGAAAAGAGTATGTGGAGGGTCCATCATAAGAGTTCCAAGTTGGCCCTCCCTGAGTGCTGATGTGATGGCCACTAGAAAGGATACCTTCATAGACAGGTAAAGCAATGAACAAGTTGCCATGGGTTCAAATGGTTTTTCCATTATTGCTCTCAGTACTAAATTTCGGTCCCACGCTGGAGTGTGGTCCTTTATTGGGGGAAACATATTTTGGAGGCCCTTGAGGAAGCACTTGGCTGAGGGGTGTGCAAAGGAGGAGTGACCATCTATCTGTGGGTAGAATGCTGTAACTGCAGCTAGGTGTATCCTGATAGAACTAGGAAAGTCCGATGTTCCTTAAAAATAGCAAGTATTGGAGTATCTGAGAGAGGTCTGTAGATGAGGGCAAGAAGTTCTGACTGTAGCATCATAATGTGAAACGGTGCTATTTATGTACATATCTTCCTTGCAGCTGGTCTATGACAGTTAAGGATGACTTCCTGCACTGGTATGGGGCATGCCTCTTCAAGTTGAGTTAGTCTACAAGGAGACACACCTGAATGTGCAGGGTCTGCACACTAGGGTGGTGTGGTCCCCCGTTGTTCTGAGCAAAGAGAGACAACATCTTCGTGGTGCTTCGCACTGAAGCCACCCTCATATGTAGGAAGTATGGAAACCAGGTTTGTATGGGCCATTTGGGGACTACAAAGCTGACCCATGCTTTGTCTTTTTTATTTTGAGGATAACCTGTTGTAGGACTGGAAAGGTGAGAATGCGTATAGGAGAGATGCATACTATTTTATTGTGACTGCATGCCCCAGTGACTGGGGATCTATTTATGCCCTGAAACAATAGCAAGGACACTTGGTTTTCGAACTGCTTATGAATAAGTCTATAGTGGGGTATTTACTCTGACTGAATAGGGGAACAAAACATGGAAGGGGTGGGTTCCCACTCATGATTCTGTGGAAAGTGTCTGCCATATGTCCTAGGAGTTGGAGGCATTCATGGGCTGGTCTGTGCAAAAGAAATCAGGTCCATGATTGCTGTGAATCTCTGTACTGGGAATGATGTTGTTGCTGTTGTGCAATCTAACTGCGTTCCTATGAATTTCAAGCGATGAATGGTGATGACTGCCTGGTCTGTGTCATGGGCTGTTGGACCTTTTAGTAGGCAATCATCCAGATATAGGGAGATGGTAATTTCCATTCTGTGCAAGTGTGCTGCCATCACTACAAGGACTTTGGAGAAGACCTGTGGGACTGTGAAGAGTCCAAACGGAAGCATCCTGTACTGAAAGTGATAATTGTGAATGGCCAATTAGAGGTAATGCCTCTGCGTCAGGTATATGGAAATATGGAAGTATGAGACCTGTAGGTTGAGTGTAGACAGCCAGTCTCCCTTCTCTAAGGCAGGGATAATGGTGGCTAGGGTTACAATCTTGAATCATCATGTGCGAATGAACTGGTTGAGGTTGTGGAAGTCCAGTATGGGTCTCTCATCTTTGTTTTCTTGGTTGTAAGAAAACAGTGGGAGTGAAATCCCTCCTCTGTGTACATGCTCTATGGCTCCCAACTGCAGGAGGTGGTCCAGTTCCTGCATGAGAACGGCTTCATGAGAGAGGTCTCTGAAGAGGGACAGATAGGGTGGGAGGGGAAGAGGGGTAACAGAGGGGATACAGTAACCAGTTCCCAGTATCTTTAGCGCCTATCTATCCATGGTAAAGCTTGATAACATGAGGCTAGTCCATTTTCAAATGGCATAGAGAAGTTCAATTGCTGCCTTGGAGATATCAGGACTGTCACACCCTCAACCAACACTTCAAAAGATTTGATGTGATGCTGAGGGTTGGTCTGCTGGCTGTGTGCGTCTATTCTGCCGTTGTTGGCATTTGTTATAATGCCTCTGTTGTTGCATGAAAGGCACTGATCTATAGCTTTGAGTAAAAGATCTGCCTTGTTTTCTCTTTGTGCCAGGAATGTGTATGCCCAGCGTCTTTTATACAGTGTGGAGAGAGACATCCGTGGATTTGGCAAAGAGTTTTGACCTCCAAAGGGCAAGTCTTCAACCATGGACAGAACCTCCCTGGGGAAGCTGCAAAGTTGTAACCATGGTGCTCGTCTCATGACAACTGCAGAGATGAACCAAGCTTCTGTATCAGCTGAATCCAGTGCAGCCTGAAGTGCTGTGCAGCAACCTCATTAACACTGTCTCTGAATTGGTCTTATCTTTTATTGAATATTTGCTGGACAACAAGCATCATTTGGTCAAAGATGTTGTGCGTATACTTTGCCAAGAGTGCTGCATAACTAGAAATGCACAGTTGGAGGATGACTGAGGAGTATGCTTTCCTGCCAAACAGATCCAACTGCTTCCTATCTCTGTCCTATGGTGTTGTACTGGCTGTCTGTCCCTCTGATTCACGGTCCCCACAAGGGAACTAGGAGTGGGATGTGAGAACAAAAAGTCTGCCCCTCAGGGTCCTATATAATATTTTTTTGTTCGACCTCTTACAGATTGGAGGTATCGTGGCTGGGGTTTGACAAACGGTTTTTGCTGGATCCATTAGGGCATCCATCATTCATGGGAAAGTTATAGAGAATATCCATCAGCTTCTGCTGATTCTCCAGCATGTTTGAGAGTGGACTCCCCAAGGCAGCGATTCCCAACCACCGGCTGCAGGCCTCTGGTTGCTGTGCCGTGGCGTCTCTGGGGGTAACACCCCACAACGGGAAGGAGACCCGCACATGCCTGGTGCAGCATAGGGCTAGGTAAGGGGGTGGGGCAGGCACTGGTGGCTCTGGGGGTGGGGCTAGTGCTTGGGGGCTCCAGAGGCCGCACTAGTAATGGGGGGCTATGGGAGCAGAGCTGCTATTGGGAGGCTCAGAGCAGGACACTTGTACTGGGGGGTGGAGGGGTTGGGTGTAGGAGACTCTGGAGTCAGTGGCTGGTGCTGGGAGGTAGCAGAGGGGTGGGGGGATCTAGGGGTTAGGACTGGCACTGGGAACTCTGGAGTCTGGGCTTTTGGTGGACCAGCAGCACCCCACCTGCATATTCACAATTTTCATAATGAATATGCATATAAAATGCTACCGGTCCACGAAAAGTTTGTGAATGGGTTTACCAGTCCCTGGTATCAAAAAGGTTGAGAACCACTGCTCCAAGGAGTCTGCTACTCTTCTATATACTCCTAGAAGGATATAAAATCATCCCCTGAAGTTGGAGGAGGGGGCATGAAGGTGTCATCTGGTAATAAGGATAAGTGTATCGGTGGGGGAGAGTCAGGTGTCTATTTCTCCCCTGTCACATCAGGATCCTCTTCCTCCTTAGTCATAGACTGGTTGGGTGACTGGGTAGTCGGTGCTTGAGATCTGGGTGCTGGGGAAGGCTTTGGTAGCTGCTGAGGTTGCTGTGCCTGATATGAGGCTAAGGATCCCAGAATGGCCAGTTGCGAGGAATTAGTGGTGGTAACCACAGGGGTGGGGTGGGGTTGCCATTGAAGAGGCTGTTTGCTGGGCCTTGGCGAGGAGTGCCTCGAAGTATGGACACCCAGGGGCTCCTCTTCCTTATCATTGGAGAACAGTGAAGTAGATCCAACTGGTGTAGAGGAGAGGATGAAGCAGAAAGTGTTCAGGGTGCCATTAGTACTGAATAATGTTGTTCCCGGCACTGAGGATACTAGCAAGTCTGCACTAGTGGTAAATGCCTGCGGCGCCAACATAATAGTTACAGGCCCTGGTACTGAGGACAGCTGTGCTGCTGAGCTCTGCACCAATGGTGCTGAATGCTTGGTCTGCACCAACGATGCGGTGGCATGGTGGCGCTTGGTGCCAAAGCTGCACATGGTCTCGCTGGTGCCCGTGCCAATGGTGCCTTGGCTGGTGCCTATTGAGAGCCTTGTGTTTAGTGTGGGTCTGTGCCTTGGAGGTGGTCCATGCCCTGTTTTTTTAGTCTCAGCCCTTACTGGTGCCAGACTTGGCTGGTGCCTCTCATTTTGTGCCTCAAGTGCAACTGGTGCCAGAGCTGATTTCTTCAGGAGAGAGCATTTCCTCATGTGGGAATCAGCCACAGAATAGGAATGTGACCTTTTCTTGGAATGACTGAATCTGCTCAGGGTCCTCTGAACTCAATCTTGAGGGAACTGCTCTCTCAGAGACCACCACTAAAGAAGGTTGTTTAGATGGTGTAGTGTGCTCTGGAACTGAAGCTGGGTGGACAGACTACTCAAGGACCATCATTTTTAATTGGAGTTCTCTCACTTTTCTGGTCCTGGATGCAAACTTCTTGCAGTGAGGCCCTGATTCCATAGAATGCTCCTTACCACAACAATGGACACACTGAGAGTGCCCATCAGACGCAAGTATGGGCAGCCTGCAGGTTATACAACTTTTAGAGCCAAGTGAACCAGGCATGTCTGTTTTACAGTTTCTGCAAAGCAGGAACCTTGAAGAAAGAAAAGGCTAACTATTTCACTTTTTTTTAAAACAATAAATAGAACTATACTAATTAAACTACTGTGAACTAACAAGAAACTACCAAACTGTACTAACACATTAACAACTAGCTAATACTTGAGAGCGACTTCTGGGTTTTGATCAAAGCCAACAGTTGTAGAGAAAGAACTGAAAAGACAGTTGGCTGCGCATGTGGAGTAGCTGCTTCAAACGGCGCGTGCTGGCTGCCCTGTGTGCGCAGCCAACCCAGGGCACTGCTGCCAGAATTCTCTGATTAGAAGTGCAGTGGTCCTCAGACACCTAACATGGAGCCCCAAGAGGGACACTCCTCGAAGAGTCTTGATTTAGTCAGCAGCTCAGGATGACAGACTGATTTCCCTAAATAACTTTCAACTAAAGTTTTGTATATATAAAAAGGATTATACAGGTAGTTTTCACCTACCTCTTTCACATATTTCAGTTTTTTAGATAATTTTATTCAAAGAAAGGCATTATTTCCCATGAGCTCCCTAACCATAATTAAGCTCATAATTATGAAAAACGTAATGTATAAAAGCTACATACAGGTTACTGCTGAGGTGCTATTCATGTGGGGGTTACTTCATTTGAATTTCTTCAATTGTATATGTTTAATCTCTAAATCCTAATGTTTCATAAACTCTCTCTCTTGTTTTAACTTCCTCTTAAATAAATCTTATCAAATCTCAAAGTGTTTTACTCAATGACTTCTCTTCTTGGATGTCATCAATCCTTCTCTTTTTCTGTTTCTTAGTTACATCCTGGGGCTCAAAACTTCACTGTAATATTATCTTCACTACATGCCCATCTTCTTCTTCCTAACCTGCAGGTGCACAATCTTGGTCTTTAATGACCAAAGAATCCAAAATCAAGAGGGGAAAAAAAGCTTGTGTCCCTGCAGATGGGGAGGGAGGACATACTGGAAGCAAACCTATAGCATAGTTTTAACTACCTATGGCTAGATAGTTGACAGAAAAAAGTGGGAATGTTGACCATGGATTCAGAGAAACTTATTCCATTCGCTATGACTTTTTTTTTAAAAAAAAAGCTAGCTAGATTTCTCCAATGTTACAAAATAATTTACTTCTATACTTATGGCAAGCATGGTGTAATAAATGTCAACCACTGATTTTTATTTGAGGGGATAGAAAATGAGATTATAAAACCAACCCAACCATGAGTTTAGAATGCAAGTATTTTCATAGCCACACTAAAATAATTATGATAAAGCAAATAACATATGTCCTCCTGTATTGCTTAGCCTGGTATCTAATTTATATGTCAAGAAAGTTTGCAGTTGCTGATGCACTGAGAAAGCATACTGTACCTCTTGCTTGAAAAAGATCAATCTCTTTGGTTAGGCAATCTATGTCTATCTGCAGCTGTCTGTTACAACTTCGCAACTGTTGCATTTCTTCCAGCTGAAAAAACAAATCTGTTAGACTGAGTTTTCCCACTTCAATATCAATCACCATTCACACATAGGAAATGTACATTTAAGCTTATTTTTGGCCTGGAGATGCATCAGCCATCCCTTTGCCATGGCTTTTAATCCTCACAGATCATCTTGGTGTACAATTGACAAGAGACAGTTAAAGCACAAAAGGAGGTGGTGAAAGGTGTGCTATGAAACAGATTGTAAACTGAAGTTCTAGTACACTGATGCTCCAATTAGAGACTTTCAAACTAGCCTATTGAAATATGGTGTGCATTGTACTATCCTTGATAGCTTCTGAGAAAGTTCAGTGAGTGTGTAACCATAATTGCCAACTTAGCAGTTCTTGCTACGAGGGGCATATTATACCTGTTTATACCTATATTTGGAATGACACTGTATTTAGAATTAAATTGGTAGCCAATGTGCCATTTACTGAATTATGAAAGATCATGCTTATGGGTTTGCATTTTACAGAGATTGCATGATACAGAGATTTTTGACTTACTGAAGGAATTTGAGAAACAGAATTCGATCTTTTCAGCCGCCTTCGTGTCAGATTATTCTCCATTTCATTGACCTCTGATTTTAGATTATCCAACTTTTTCTTTTGAATCTCAAGTTCATGTTGAAGTCGCTCCATCCTGGCTTTCTGGTGTATCAGTAAAGCTGCAATAATATCAGCAAAACAAAGTCCCATTTTAGTTAATTTATTATCCACCCTATGAAACTTTTGATAACTAAAAATGAAATCCAATATCCTTCTGGAAAAGTGATCTATATGAATGCTTTTTCATGCTTCTCACAAGAATGCTTTGGTTATGTAAAACCACACATCTCATTATACTTCTGAATAAAGAATGAATCAAGTATTTCATCTGCATTATAATCTAAAGGGTCTAATATGTTATGTCTATGTAGTTTTGTCTGGTTTTTATTGTCTGCCTTTGTAGCTTGGACATGTTATAAAACAGGATAACAATGGTAAGCCAATGAACCGTGTAATATTTGAAAACATACAAGCACAAAACATTTGCCTTTTTTGTACTTTTCATTGCCTGTTTCTTTGTGAAAGGGGGGAAGGAAGGGAGAAACCAATAAAAAAATCATTCAAAAAAAATCTAAAGGGTTAGAGAAAAGAAATCTGGGCAATAAATCTTCACAAATTATCAGAAAACAAGTTAATTTAGCCACATATTACATTTGGTAAAAATAAGCTTTCACAAAATATATGGTCAAAATTGTAATGGGAAGAGTAAAAGACAAAACAAAAAAATCCTAACCCTTTGCACTATGTTCATTTCAAACACCACAGAATTTTAATGAACTATGAATACATTATCCAAAGTAGATTTTAAAAATAAAGCATGCCTCTACTGCAGAACATATCATAGTCCTAGAATTAAATGCTAAGCCTTGAGTTAAACTAGGAGTTTTATTAATGGCAGAAAGATGGCATATGAAAAAAGACAGGAAAATAAACCAAAACTTCACAAGTAATATGGCTAGAAAGTGGTTATAGTAATTACAGTACATAGCAATTTATTTATTTGAATGATGACTCAGAACTATTAATGTTAGATTCCAATTTCTGATTCTGTTCAGTGTACTGCTACTATTATCCACAAAGCAAATGGTCAATAGTGGGCTAATATACAAACACTGAGGTTAGGGTTTAGGTCTCATAGCATTTTAAAAGAGTGAAAATATCACACTAAATTCAGATTCATTTTGCAGCTTACCCCTTTAAAGCAAAGCACAATATCAGACTTCACCAAATCACTTCACATTCTAGCTGTACCTCAAAAAAAGGATCACCTATATTTATTGCACTCATTTGGTCTTATCTACTTCAGGGGTTGTCAAACTGAAGGCCATGATCCCTCAGGGGATTGTGAGGTTATTACCTGGGAGTCACAAATACACATCTCCGAGTTTGCTAGTAAGTCTGCTATGAAAAGTAATATTAACACAAATGTTACTGTAAAATACTGTAAATAGAAAATTGTATTTTAACTTGGGGTGAAGGGTGTGTCACGCTGAGGCATGCTGTGTGAAAGGAGCTGTCAGTAGAAAACGTTTGAGAATCATTGGATTTGATACACGAGAAAATCTTGCAATTCAGTTTCTATATACATATTAGCTTACATTACAGACTAATTTAAAACTTCTCTTTTATTGTGACACTTTTGTAAAGCGCTGAGTATATTTACATGATTATTAATAAATACAAGTGGTTTACATAAGTGGCAGTAACAAGGGGCTATTTAAAAAGGGCGGGGTAGCAAGTAAACATTGTCCTTTAAAAGTGAAGGGGTCAGACAGATCCGTGCTTTTATATAAGCTTTAAAAAGAAGTGTATATACCTGGTGTATGTTGCAACTTTTTATTACAATTACTCTCCTATTTCTTCCACCTGCTTATCTTTCATTGACTGTAGGTTCTTTAGGTGTAAGGACGGTCTTATACTATATGTTTGTATAGTGCCTAGCATAACAAGGCTCCAACCCAATTAAGGCCTATAATATAATCATTATTAAATTCAGTCATAGGGATATAAGCAACTAGTTGACCATCTAATAAGCATAAGCTTTTCAGATAGTTGAGTAGTGACTCAACTAGTTGCTTCTCCCACCCCTTACTGCCTATATCAGAGAGAGGCAGCAAGGGGGGGAGGGGGAGAACACTGTCTCCAGGAATGGGAGAGGACACAGCAGGGAAACGGTGCGAGTGGGGACTGAAAGGCTGAAGTTCTGCAGTGGGAACTTCAGTGCTGCTTCAGTCCCCGCTCATGCCATTTCCCCACTGCGCCCCTGCCCCCACCGCAGGACTCTTGTACATTTCAAAGGCTGAAGTGCCGCAGGGAGCACGAGGTCAGTGAGGACTTACTACACTTAAAATGCAGAGCTGCAGCATGGGTAGCTCCTGGAGCTGGCACAAACCAGGACTGCTCAGTCCCAGCTCAAGCTGGTTCCTGGAGCTACTTCCACTGAGGTTCTGCAGAGCGGTCCTATGGACTAATCATATAGTCAATACAAACTGCATCGACTAGACGATTAGCCTGATAACTGCATTTTAACTTTGTTAAGTCACATATAATGTTAAAAGTAGTAGAGTAATTCCAATTGGTGGCATTAGATACAGCTGCTTTATTTTCTTTATTAATTGTTTAGTCTAGTTTATGGCTGTCTTAAGTAACATACTTAAGTTATTACATGATGGCTATTAGCAATACCACAATGAAACTGCAACACAACTTTTAATTAATACAAAAATTTTAAATATCTTTACATCCATATGCACAGTCAGATTGACTTGACATTTTCTATAGCAGTAGTAGCTTCAGGATTCAGTTTTGGTTGCAAATTTGGAGTCATTTGGACACGGATTTTTAAAGATATCATCCCCATTTCCTCCCAGTTATCCTTTTTAAACATACTCTGGGTCTAAACATAAATTTGCATTAAAACAAATGCTGAATTAGAACCAGATCCATAGTTCAGTGCAGGTCTGTGAGGACACTTATTTTTCAATAAAAATGGCTAAAAATAATTTAGCTTAATCAGTTTACCGCCACTCTTACCTTATACTGCCTTTTTGCACAGACATAGGAATAAACAGTGGGCACTAACCACATTTAATCACAGGACTTCTCCTGATGAGATCTAGTTTCTCACAAAGAAACACCTGCAAAACCTGACTGTTAAAAAAAAGTTACTGGATTTTGGAGGTAGGGGCAGAATTCCTAAGATACAGCAACAGGAAATCACGAATTCAAGTCTCCTCAATTATGAAGTACGTAAAAATATTGATCAACCTAGGCCATCACTACCCCATGGGAAAGCAACACATCTTTTCCTCCTCACACTACATCTTTCAAAGAAAATGATTTAATGTAACTTTAGTTATTTCTAACAGTGCTGGGAATACAACCCAAATCTGCTCTGTGGCAAATCCAACTCCCATCCACTCAACCATACTATCTTGAAATGAATCTGCCGAAGCTGAATTCTTTGGATAATTACAATGTAGTAATTGTGTGCTTTGAATGAAGGGCTGCAAGACAACAAAAAGGTAGTCTTGTTCAGGCAATGGACTGGGGCTCTACACATTTGTCCAGTCCTGAGCTCTATTACAGGCTTCCTATGTGATGCTAAGCAAATCACTTAAACAAGGTATAGAAGACACCCTACTTTATAGGGTGTATAGAAGACACCCTACTTTTGTGAGTTTTAGGAGTAATAGCAGCCTTATGATTAATACATTCGATTGGGACTATGCAGACCTGGGTTCCAAGTCCTCTCTTCTCATCCCTGCCCCCAAGCTTCTGCTCCTCATCCCTTTGCATTGAAAGCAGGCTGCCTCCTTCTCTTCCTTCCTTCCTGGGCACCAGCAGGGGAGCATTAGGAACACAGGCGACACAGGCTCCCCATTCTCACTTCTGGTGTTCAGAGCTGCAGCTTGTAGGGGCAATAACAGGAAAAGTCCAGCTTAGCCCCTGCAGCTCCTGAAGGCACATGTTCAGTAGTTCTGTGGAAATTACTTATGTGTTGGTCAGCTGGCATGCAGGAACAGTGCAGAGATGGAGCATTCTTAGTTCAGATTAAATCTGCAGAGAATTGTTTTAGCTAAACTCTAAACCTGTACTGAATGGAGATTTTTCCAAATTTGGCTAAATTTGGGTAGAGTTTAGTGAACGGTAAAAAGCCCATTTTTAACAACGGAGGCATAACCTTCCTCAATTTCAAATCTTTGCACCAATTCCTCCCCTTCAAGATGAACCTCAGAAGGTACACAGTTATTGCAGCAACCTTCTCAAGGTTCTCAAAGTGGGAATATGGGGAAAGCTTGCCTCTAGTCCTAGCTCCTGAAGATAAGGGAAGCACAAAATCCCTTTTCTCTACAAAATTTCCAATGTTGGGTAGAGACTTCTCAATTCACCCTCCTACTTCTGTTGCTAGCTGAGCTCCTCACAATCACTAGACAATCTGATCTCTCCAGAGTTACAAGAGTTGCCCTTGAAGTGTGTCAACTTTAAGGCTGACTCTTCATCTCCTGTTTTCCCAAGATTTGTGTTCTGTTTATTCGTTTACTTAAACAACAAATGGTCTGGTAGCACTTTATAGACTAACAAAACATGTAGATGGTATTATGAGCTTTCGTGGGCATAGTCCACTTCTTCAGATGACTGGAGTTTTGAGTTTAGGATGTGCAGACCCCAAAAAAATAGGGGAGAAGGGAGAGGAGGGAAGGGAAAAAAAAAGAAGGGGGTGGAAAACAAGGAGCAGAGGGTATGAAAATATCAAAGAGAAAAACAAGTAGGCAGAACTGGTAACCTATAAGCACCTAAAGATTGGATAGTTAAAAGAAGCACATAAGGATCACAGAATAACAATTAGATAGGAAGAGTACTGACACAAAAATCTACACAGACGAAAAGCTGTTGGCACCTTCATTGAACGTTAGGTTGATAATGTCCCTGCCATCTGTTATCTCGATTGAGAAGGTCATCAGTGTGAGAACTAAATTTGTGGATGAATTGTAATTCCAATGTGTCTCTATGTATTTGGCTTGTAGAATTGGTTCAACACCTCTACTGTTAGTCTGCTTACATTCCCCTTACATGAATGCTGGCTCTGAATTTAAAAGTTAGAATTTAATTCTTAAAC